CTAGTGTACCACTCACGAAGTTGTTGGGGGGTGAGGGACTCACGCGGGCGACGCTGGAGCTGCATCTGGCCACGCCAGGAGCAGCAGTAGCAGTAGAAAGAGCACTAGCAGCAAGAGCAACAGTAACAGGTTTACGGGCAAGGCAGTGCTCACCAGTGGCGAGAAGGGCAGGCGTACGACGGCGGCAACGGCGAGGCCACTACCACTGTAGGGCGAGAGCTCCGCGGCACCTGCAGGGGTGGCTGCTCCAGGGGCGGCTGCTCTAGGGGCGTCTGCTGTAGGGGCGGCTGCTGTAGTGGCGGCTGCTCCAGGGGCGGCTGCTCCAGGGGCGGCTGCTGTAGGGGCGGCTCGGCTGCTGGGCGACTCGGCTGCTGGGCGGCTCGGCGGCTCAGCTGCTCGGTGGCTCGGCGGCTCGCCTGCTCGCTAGGGGCGGCGACGGGGCCGGGTAGGGGCGGCGACGGGGGCGGTAGGGGCAGCGACGGGGCCGCGTAGGGAGGGGAGTGGCTACGGGGCCGCTAGGGGCGGCAACAGGGCCGCGTAGGGGCGGCTACGAGGCCGCGCAGGGGCGGCGACGGGGCCGCGTAGGGAGGGAGGCGGCGAAGGGCCCGCTAGGGGCGGCGACGGGTCTGCGTAGGGGCGGCGACAGGGTCGCGTAGGGAGGGAGGAGGCGAAGGGCCCGTTAGGGGCGCCGACGGGGCCGCGTAGGGGCGGCGACGGGGCCGCTAGGGGCTGCGACGGGGCCGCGTAGGGGCGGCGATGGGGCCGCGTAGGGGCGGCGACGGGGCCGCGTAGGGGCGGCGATGGGGCCGCGTTGGGAGGGGAGCGGCGACGGGGTCGCTAGGGGTGGCAACGGGGCCGCATAGGGGCGGCGACAGGGCCGCTAGGGGCGGCGACGGGGCCGTTTAGGGGCGGCGACGGGGCCGCGTAGGGAGGAAGGCGGCGACGGGGCCGCCTGGGTGGCGCGAGGGGCCGTGAGAGGGGCCTCTAAGAGAGCTCGACAGAAGGGCGGCCCACAAGGCGCGCCTCGGGCAGGAGCGACTCGCGCTTCGGTCAGAAAAAAATAAGTTTCAGTGGTGGGCCCAAGGAAGCGTTCCCACTAGGGAACCTGCTCTGATACCATGTTAAAGAACGAGGAATGAATGAACTAGCAAGCAGGTGGGTACAAGTAGGAAAACCTAGAAGTGTTGTACCTTATATTGTCTACCCCATTATAGCCTACACAAACTATAGCATAAGAGTTTGACATTATGGGGGCACTCACCCGCTACGTAAACAAGCCCTTTTATCCCAGTGATTAGTGGCTGGGATTCTGACACTATGTTGACGAGGTTCCCCCACATGGGGCGAACATTGTTAGTGGCATGTGGATTTTCAGAGTGAAGCAGCTGCCGGGTTTTCGCCTGTCTTCAAGGCGCGTTACGTTGCACGAGGCTTCAGACAGCGACAGGGAGTTGACTTCTTCCAGACCTTCTCCCCTTCCCCGAAGATGACCACTCTTCGGGTGCTACTGCACGTCGCCGCTCAGCGTGACTACGAGCTTCACTCTCTTGAATTCAGCACAGCCTTCCTACAGGGCAGCTTGCACAAGGAGATCTGGCTGCGCCGCCCACCTGGCTTCACTGGTTCGTATCCTGCAGGTACCCAGTGGAGCCTTCGGCGGGCAGTCTATAGTCTCCGCCAGGCGCCTCGAGAGTGGCACGACACACCGAGGACGACGCTTGCAGTTCTTGGGTTTGCTCCTTCGACTGCTGACCCGTCGCTCTTTCTGCGCACCGACACTTCATTGCTGCCGTTCTACATCCTCGTGTACGTCGACGACTTGGTCTTTGCCACTATTGACACTGAGGGACTCGCTCACGTGAAGTTGGAGCTGCAGAAGAGACACACGTGCACTGACCTGGGTGAGCTGCGCAGCTATCTTGGCTTGCAGATCACCCGGGACAGAGCACAGCGCACCATTACCTTGAATCAGTCACACATGATGCAGCAGGTCCTTCATTATTTTGACTTCTAGTGCTCCTCACCACAGTCCACTCCTTTTCCTACCGGTCACCCGCTCTCTGCTACCATGTCAAGAAGAACATGATGGTTGTTAGGTCAAGGGGAGGGGTACAAGAACAACATCGAGTGAAATTATGTACCCCCTAGTGCTAACACCTATCTAGCCTAAACAACATAAGCATATATGTTTTGACTGCAGATAGTGCCGGCCAATCAGGGCGCGACCTAGTCTGGCGCTGGCGCCCATACCGTATTTGCGAATATTGAGGTTAAGGTAGTTGGTTAGAGCTTTACATCAAGCCCCATCCTTGTCGAGGTAAGGGAGTGATTATACGTTTCGATAATATTTGCCTCGTTAAGATATTACGTTTTATGTAAACGTTGCGATCGCAATATGCTGACACGGAACAACCATACAAATCACAGACTAAAATCCAGCACAACATCGTCATGCCTTATAGTCTTGACACACAAGGTAGTACAACGGCAACTATGGGAATCCTGGAGGCCTCTCCCAAGGATAGACAGACATGCGTTTACGATGTGTGTGTCCTAGAACATCCTATCACGTGGCGGCCATTCCCACCATGCAAGCATGCCGAGAGAGTGAGCTAGAATGTCGGCACCCATCTTGTTGACACTGCCAACGTGTTTGAACTTCCTGTAAGGGTACAGATTTGGCTGTTGAATTGTACTGCGTGTGTCTCCGGCGCCCCAATATAGATATTCACCGTGCTGGATGTGCGCAACAATCCATCGTCGGTGAGTTAACGACATTAAATTATTCTCGGAAGCTATTAGCTACATGCGAGCGGTACTTACCACCCAACCTCCACTCATTGCGAAATGCATGGGGAACGTCTTGTAATCATACACTGGAGGTCTGGACGAAACCAAATTATGGAGGCCAGTAGCGTTGTAATTTATGGCTCGGTGTCCTCACCTAATGATGCGCACGAAGCCGTCAGCATGCAGGTGGAGGGTCAGCATGCATGCGCTAGTATTGGTGGTTGCGCAACATGGTGTGAATGCAGGCGTTGTTTATATATGACAGTGTGACGCCTGGCAAGGATTGACGCGATGCGAGCACTACCGTTCTGGCACAGGCTCTCTGTCTGTCTGCGCGAGTACAACGCTCCAGTACAAGATGCCCCACACAGTCTAGGAGCTGCCATGGCGTGGGAGTTACTCTGGCTTCAATAAAGCGGGTGTACTCAGCTTGCATGAGAACCGATGCAACTTTGTAAAAATCATGCACAAGGACAGCCATTGCGGACGCAAGGCCACACAGGACCAGGATAACAAGAGGGCTCGCCGCGCTCACTCTCGTCACGTGCACACCGCTATCGAGCCGGCTATGCTAGTAGGCGTGAAAGTGCCTGGTTTGCCATTAATGACTCTCCTTTTCTTGTGGGATGAAATGTGCTGAGGTGATGTGATGAATGTGACTTGATAGTTGGGAATGAAATTGTCAATGGGCACAACGGCAAAATGTCGAGAAAAATATTCGGCGCAAGATTAGCGATGAATCTCACTGTAACATGGCAAAATGTTCATTATGCTCGCTCAAACCCCCTGACACGTCATCCAGCGAGCAGCTTTCACTTAACTTACCACACGCGCGAAGACTTGGAAGGACTGCAGGAGTTATCGCGAGATGACATAATTTGACCAATCCACATCTTGCATTGAGTTGAACAAACGATCTAACCCACAGTTAGCGAATCAGCAATAGAGGCATCGAATGAACAGGAACTTTTGCATGATAGGATTTTTTTATGAGACACTTCGATAGCACGCCGTTATGCTCTGCATAGGTACTAAAATGGATCTGTTGGTACCCAACTTAATATCGCGTCTGGACAGACACGGGAAATGTTGAAGTCTCGTGCTAGCTTCCACCTATCCTCTAATGTTGTCGCAAGCGGTGCTCTATGCGTTGGTGTGCGGTTCAGACAGAATGTGGTCCATGGAGCTATTAAGGGTAGCGCCGCAGGTGAAGTCACAAAGCGCACACGCCCAGGTTTCGAGTTTGTTGTCCAGCCCAATGTAGATGAGTCCCGGGTCGTTGCGAAAGGCGGTTGGAGCGGCGTGGTTCCTCAGAACATTGCCTACAAGGGAGGGAGCAGTCAGTGGGAGGAGGGGGGGCCAGTGTGGGTACGGGGTTGGACGTAGGTCCAGGTATAAGGGGGGCAAGGAGAGTTGGGGATGAGGGGAGGGTGGAGAAGGTGTAGGTGAGGACCATGAAGGGGGGATCCGTGTAGGAGTGTTGGCTGCAGGGGGAGGTAAGTGTAGGGAGTGGGGGGAGGGGGGGGGGGGGGGGGGGGGGGGGGAAGAGCGTGGGTTGGCAGAGGCCCGACTAGAGGAAGAGAAGAGATCAAAGGGGTGGGAGGCGACCTGCTTGAGTGAACTATGTGAGAGGCCAGAGGGAGGGGGCTGTCAACAGAGCGGGGAAGATAATGGGTGGGAGTGGAGGACGGTGGGGGCGGGGCCTATGGGGGGGCTGGAGGAGGGGCGACCAAGGAGGGGGGGAGGGAAAGGATTAAGTCGGGGTGGGGGAGTTGCGGGGGAGGGTGCTGCTTGAGAAGGGGGGAGAAACCGGAGAGTGAACCCTCTCAGTGCTAGCATAGGGGTGGGCAGAGGCCTTTCCTCTGGGGAAGCAAGGGGAGATAATGCGCAAGGGGTGGGGGCTATGTTGGTTGGGCGCAGGGAGGGAGAGTTCCGGAGGGGAGAGTTGCCTGCGGGGGTAGGAGACAGCTCGGAGGGGTTATGGGTGTGAGGTGAGCTTGTGGGAGAGCGGAGATCCGACCTCAGGGATGGTAGGGGGGGGGAGTGTCATGGGGGGAAGGGGTGGAATGGGTGAGGGCAGGGAGTGGGGGTTCATGGGTAAAGTGGTGCCTGCGGGGAGAGGAGAGGGCAGGGGGCGTTTGGGGGTATGGGGTGAGTTCGTGGGTGCGCGGATGCCCAACCAAAGGAGGGTACGATACAAGGGGTGGGTGCTAGTTGAATGGCGGCAGGAGGGGAGTGGATTGAGAGGGAGGGTTTCCTGCATGGGTGGGGGAGAGCAGAGAGGGACTGGAGGTATGGAGTGAGCGGGTAGGTGAGTGAAGGGCCGATGGCAAGGGGGGCCAGGTAAAGAAATGGTATAGGGAAGAGGGGGATGGTAGGGGTGAAGGCATGGTAAAGGGGGACAGCAGGCACAAGATGGGTGGTGAGAGAGGGGGGCGGGGGGAGAGGGCAGACGCAGGTTGAGTGTGGGGGTGGCCGGGGTCCAAGCCCCTGTGGGGGGCGAAGGAGAGAAGGCAACAGGGGAGGGGGGTGCATAAGGATAGAGGGACAGCAGAAGGTGAGCGCGGGGTGGGGAGGGGGGGGGCAAAATTGAGGGCAGAAGGGGAGTGTTCGAGAGGACACAAGAGGCAGACTAGAAGTGTAGAATGGCAGCAAGATGGAGGGATGTTTGCACCGAATACGAAAGAGGCATTTTGAGTACCATTTGCTTGCTTCAGTCGCGTGGTTGAGATCGTGTTCCGATTTGTAAGGCAATGCTGGAAGCGGGCAGCGAACACGTCATGGTCCGATGCACGGTGGTTGTTGGAGAAAAACGAGCACACGTGGTAGGAAAAGTTAAGCAGCATGGGAGGCTTGTTGGCCTTCAGCAGGATTTCGGATGGGATGAGTTCAGAATGAGGGTCATCAAAGGTGGCGACGGGGAGCCCTGCAAGGTGAGTGAAGTAGGTACCCTCGTATGGGTCTGGGGCGCGATGAAAGTTGGTCAAGTCAGCAAGCCAGTGTGCACCATCTGGCTTGGTAGAGTCCAAGAGGAAGACATGGATGTCCTCTGGAGCGTACTCCAGGAGACCATTGCGGATGGATAAGGTGGGTTCGCCTACGGCCTTTGCCACGAACCTGTCCACGAACTCCTTTAGCAGAACGGGGCGAGAGTTTGGGAGTTTGAGCGTGAAGGGGAACAGCCTGCGAAAGGCGGTTGCATCCTCCTGCGATGGCCATGAAAACATCAGGCAGACGTACGTGCAACGGGCCACGCGGAGGGGGTCATCGACGGTCTACTCAAATGGTGGAATGGTGCCGGATCCAAACATGAAGTCGCACAGCAGCACATTGATGCTGGCAAAGATCTCAATGCGGTGCGATTCCTGTTAGCTTCTAGGAGGAGGAGAGACACACAACCACGCGGCGGCGCTGCGGGAGCATCAATGGGGTGACAACGATCATGCGCACACGACAAATATTGTGGGGGGAAGGGGGGGGAGAGGGCGGGGGGGGGGGGGGCACCTAGAATGGGCGTGTCGGTACGTGAGGTGGGCAGCACAGGGGCCGGGTTAGAGCTCGGGGCTACGGACATCTAGGCATCTTCTGCGTGGCCTGCCACGGTGTTAGGAGCGACTGTAGTTGCAACCTGCGAAGGTGTCGGGCTTCGCGATCGAGACGGTACATGCCGTGGTCACGAGGCAGTTGACGAAATCCGATGCGGAATGAGGTGTTCGTGTAGATGCAGCTGCCAGAGTCGCGGCGCCTGTTTAATCCCGTCGAGAGGTTTGTTGAGGCGACAGACCTTGGAGGGGTCTCTAACGTAACCGCGCAGCTGCTCTACAAGTATGAGTGCGTCAACAAGAGCGTAAAAAAACGCTGTAGAGATATTGATTTGGCGAAGCTTAAGACCCAATGCTGCTGCGAATTCGAGTTTAATGTGGAGCGAAGTGTGACGAGTGACAAGAACGAAAGTCGCGCCATAATCCACGCCTTTGTTTCTAATCAAAACCGTGAACAATGAGTCTTGAAGAGCTCGATCGTCCCGTCAGCGCTGGTATTAATGGAAGACCCACTTCCCATAGAGGATATTCTTGGTAGGAACCGTCGATATAGAAATTAAATCCCATATGGTGTTATCGTGTCGTGCCTTCAGTTCCTTATCCATGGCTTCGTGCCATTTTTCCCAGTGAGGTTTGTTTAGTGCTTAAACCAAGGTGTTTGGTTTGGTAAGAAGAGGTGGTTTAACTGCTACGGCGAGCCCTAGTATTTGTAATCCAGTCTGTGGATAACAAGTTTGCCGCTTAGTCTCGTTAGCAGCAACTTCGTCAGCAGCTTCAGGATCAAAATTAGAACCAGGGCCAAGTCTCTCGCTTTTGTTAGAAGCAACAGGGATAGCTGTAGTTGCTCTGTTATCAGCAAACTAGTAGTAAGGTTCAGCGTTGATGTCATGGTGAGAATCTTCCTCATCAATTTTGATCGGAACTGAACGGTATGGGGCGGCACCGGCAACTGCTGTCGCACCAGAAACAGCTTCCTCCACTGCGCCAGCTTCGTCTACTTCTGTAGCAAAGGTGCGTGTACCTGGAAACCCACCTGTGAAATCTTCATAAGTTGCATGCTGCTTCGCCAAGTAGGATACGTGATGTGAGAGTTCGACGACTTATGCCAGCTATGCTTGCTTACCTTTACTTTATCATGCTATTTCTAGCATAGGATAATCATATGCATGCATGAATTGCTTGATTTCCTAGGCTAGGTGCTTTCCTATATTTTATTATAGTTATAGCACCGAGCTAGGTTGCGTGCACCGAATTCTGGCTTTCCGGTTGCCACCGAATTGCCTTCTACCGAATTCGGTAAGGATCTGTTCGGGACGCTACGCGGCCCGCGGAACCTTCGCGTAACACCTGGTTACGGGGCCTTGCGTCAAGCCAATATATAGCCTCGTGTTGTACCCAGGTGATTATTCAATTCATTCAATTCACATTCTCTTTTCTGAGCTCGATCCTAGATCCTCACACTTGGTTATCAGAGCGGGTTTACTCGCGAGGTCTTCAACCGCTTAGTTCCGGCCTTTAAAAAACCGCGGGGCAGACGACGAAAGCGCCGATACGGATATGTAAAACCAGTTCCGCGCAATTTTTCTAAGTCCCCCTCGATTCGGTTTTCGAACACTCCTCAGATTTACTGGTGGAAAGGTTATAGTTTCGACCGTTCGATCGAGTTTCATCTTCACGGCCCAGAGAATTTCACCCGAAAACGTTGAAATTTGGAGCGTCGGATTGATTTTCTCCTCAACGGCCAAGATCGGACGCGAATTTCACTCAAGAGAGATTTACGCGACCTACAGAATTTGCGCTCGTCGATCCTATAGTCAACTTGACTCGCAGTAAGTCGACCAGCACCTAGAATTCGATTATTTTTGTCGCGCATCTTCCTGTAAATCGCCAAATGGAGGGAAAAGGAGATATTTCAGTACAGAAAATCGCGGGGTTACGTGCTGAGCATAAGCAAATACATGCGGCGCTCCCACCACTCGAAAAACTCCTTGCGAACCAGTCGGCAACCGCCACAGCAGCAGCGACAACAGTAGCAGCAGCAGCAGCGGCAACACCGACAATTCTACATGCGACAACGGAGCAGCTACAGTTAACCTCGAAGCAGTGAAGCCGAGGCTACCGGAGGCGTTCGATCCTACAGTAAAAAGAAACGTCGTTCGTCGATTTGTAGCTGAACTCGAAATTTACTTCGAAGCCGTAGGATGTAGGAACCCGACAATGACGCAATGCGCATACGGCTCGCAGCAACACTGTTACGAGGCCGAGCTCTAGACTAGATCAACAACAGAATAGTCCAAGGTTAGGGGACGTGGGCGCAGTTTCCGGCAGCACTGATCGAACAGTTCAACACTGTCTGAGTCTGTCTGTCCTCCGTCCGTCGGGGGTGAGTGTGCTCTTAGAACGGACGTCCTTGAGGACAGGCAGGAGGAGTTCCAGTATTTTTCTGCTGCTTTGCCTCATCTCATGTCCACGCTGATTGCCCCTGAGGGAGCTCCGAATGCACCAGACATCCCGACTCCTCGATCGTATGCTGAGGCGATAGAGGGTCCCTACTCCTCTCAGTGGCACTCAGCCATGGACGCAGAGATGGCTTCCTGGAAGTCCAAAGGCACCTACGCCGACGAGGTTCCCCCACCTTGCGCGAACATCGTCAGTGGCATGTGGATTTTCAGGGTGAAGCGGCCGTCGGGTTCTCCGCCTGTCTTCAAGGCGCGTTACGTGGCTCGAGGCTTCAGTCAGCAGCAGGGAGTTGACTACTTTCAGACCTTCTCTCCCACCCCAAAGATGACCACTCTTCGGGTGCTGCTGCACATAGCCGCTCAGCGCGACTACGAGCTTCACTCTCTTGACTTCAGCACAACTTTCCTACAGGGCATCCTTCACGAGGAGATCTGGCTGCGCCGCCCACCTGGCTTCACTGGGTCGTTTCCTCCTGGTACTCAATGGAGCCTCTGGCGCCCAGTCTACGGTCTGCGCCAGGCTCCCCGTGAGTGGCACGACACACTGAGGACTACACTTGCGGCTCTTGGGTTTGCTCCTTCTACAGCCGACCCGTCACTGTTTCTGCGCACCGACACCTCTTTGCCGCCGTTCTACATCCTCGTGTACGTCGACGACTTCGTCTTTGCCACTGCTGACACTGCTGGACTCGCCCACGTGAAGTCCGATGCACAGACCTGGGTGAACGGCGCAGCTACTTTGGCTTGCAGATCACCCGGGATAAAGCACAGCGCACCATTACCCTGACTTAGTCACACATGGTGCAGCAGGTCCTTCAGTGCTTCGACTTCACATACTCCTCGCCTCAGGCCACTCCTCTGTCTACTCGCCACTCGCTCTCAGCTCTGCCTTCGGATGAGTCCGTAGAGCCGAGTGGCCCGTACCCAGAGCTTGTTGGCTGCCTCATGTACCTGATGACCTGCACACGACCTGACCTTGCATACCCTCTTAGCATCTTGGCACGCTATGTTACTCTCGGGAGACACCGACCAGAGCACATGGCTGCAGCGAAGAGGGTGTTGCGCTACTTGTGCAGTACGTCGGGCATGGGGCTAGTGCTTGGAGGGCGACGACGAGTGGTCATCATAGGTCACGCAGACGCTTCTTGGGCTGACGACCAGGCTACGCAGCGGTCGTCACAGGGTTACACCTTCAGCCTTGGCTCCGGCTCTGTTTTGTGGCGGTCTACCCGCTCGTCTTCTGTTCTTGGCTCCCGCTGTGAGGCTGAGATCTACGCGGGGGCCATGGCTGTATACGAGCTACGCTGGCTCAACAACCTACTGACTGACCTAGGAGAGGCGCTTGGTTCTCCTCCAGTTCTGTACGTAGACAACAAGGCCATGCTGGCCTTGTGTCGGGAGCACAGACTGGAGCATCGAACGAAGCACATTGCTCTTCGTTACTTCCTTGCTCATGAGCTGCAGCAGCGTGGTCAGCTGGGCCTTGCTTACGTGGCCTCTGAGGCCAACACTGCTGATATCTTTACCAAGGCACTTCCGCCTGGTGATCATCAGCGCTTCTGTACGATGCTAGGTCTTGTGCCTCCTTGGCTTCACTTGCTCACTTCTTGACCTTGCTTGTACCGTGGTCTTTCTATACCTGCACTTGCCTGTTTACCTTAATATATGATCTTGCATGTAAACTGGCCTTTTGGCCTTGCTCTTGTGCTCGGATTTTGTGGTGACGTTGTGATCCACCCTGAGCTTGCTTTGCTTTGCTTGACTGGTCTTATGACCTCTTGTTCTCCCCCAATTTGCCTATGGGGGTGTGTCAAACTTATATGCTATAGTTTGTGTAGGTTGAAGTGTGGTAAACTATATGGGGTACAACATTTCTAGGTTTTCCTACTTGTACCCACCTGCTTGCTTTTTCATTCATTCCTCATTCTTCACAATGATCTTGAGCATTATTGTGTGCCATGAAGGCTTAGTCTGTGATAAATAAATAAAATCGAACGCTCGGCGTATAACTGGCTAGATGGCACGCTACCTAATTAAATCCATGCAGAGATGTGACTGAAATGCGGGATGAACCAAGCGCGAAAGAATTACTAATGAAAGAGCGGTATCGCCGGTTTATGAATCGCACCATGATTGGCTTGGCCTAGGTTCTTTACCAAGCCTAAGACCAACAAGCGCCTTGTATGAAGGCTTGGAATGGGCCGCTCAACAAGAGAGTGAGAACGT